AGAAATGGAAAGACATCCCCTGCTCATGGACTGGAAGAATAAACATTATAAAATGGCCATCCTACCAAAAGCAATATACAGATTCAATGCTATTCCAATCAAAATCTCAATGGCATTCTTCAAAGAAATAGAACAATTATTGATGAAATTCATATGGAATCACCAAAAACCCGAATAGCCAAAGCTCTACTGAAAAAAAGAAGGAAATGGAGGCATCACACCTCCAGACTTCAAACTATACTACAAGCATAATCATCAAAACTGCATGGTATTGGAACAAGAACAGACATACAGACCATGGAATCGAATAGAAAATCCAGAAATAAACCACAGATTTATGGTCAACTAATCTTTGACAAAAGGAGCAAAGACTATGCATTGGAGCAAAGAAAGTTTGTTCAATAAATGGTGCTGGGAAAACTGGGTCGCTACATGCAAAAGAATGAAGCTTGACCACTACCTCACACCATACACAAAAATCAACTCAAAATGGATTAAAGAACTAGACATAAGACCTGAAACCATAAATATATAGAAGGAAATATAGGCGAAACACTACGGATTTGCACATCAAAGACATCTTTACAGACCACATCACCCAAGCAGTGATAGTGAAGAGAAAGATAAACAGCTGGGACTACATCAAATTAAAGAGCTTCTGCACAGCAAAAGAGACAATAACAAAAACAAAGAGAAACCCCACCAACTGGGAGAACATTTTTGCACCCAACACTAATGATAAAGGACGGATCACAAAATCTGCAAAGAGCTGATGAGACTCAGCAACAACAAAGAAAATAATCCAGTCAAAAAATGGGCAGAAGAGCTAAAAAGAAACTTCTCTGAAGAGGAAATGAAAATGGCCAACAGACATATGAAAAATGTTCAACATCACTTGTAATCAGGGAAATGCAAATCAAAACTACCATGAGATACCATCTCACACCAGTGAGAATGGCACATATTAAAAAAACTAGCAACAACAAAATGTTGGCGAGGATGTGGAGAAAAAGGAACTCTTGTGCACTGTTGGTGGGAGTGCAAACTGGTCCAACCACTATGGGAGAGCTGTGTGGAGATTTTCTGGACCTACTAAACATAGAGCTTCCATATGATCCAGCAATTCCACTCCTAGGTATTACCCAAAGGACACAGAAACATCAATTCCAAAGAGCACCTGCACTCCTATTTTTATAGCAGCACTGTTTACAATAGCTAAGCTTTGGAACACACCCCAAATGCCAAAAATAGATGACTGGATCAAGAAGATGTGGTACATATATACCATGGAATATTACTCAGCATTCAAAAAAGATAAACACATGCAATTTGCAGCAACATGGATGGCACTGGAAGGGATCATGCTCAGCGAAAAAGCCAAAAGAAAAAGAAAAATACCGGATGGTCTCACTCATAGCAGGAATCTAGAAAACTTAAATAAGGGACCAGGAAATGAATATAAGAAAGTGAAAATCAAAATCAACAAAAAAACTATGAACCGAGACACTTTTTGGGGGGTGGGGGGCGGGAGGGGAAGGATTGTGGGGTCAGAATGGGGCGTTGCAATTGTATGGGGGAATATAAAAATAAAATTTAATATTTAAAAAAAAAAAAAAAAAAAAAACAATGCTACTTCATTAATGAAAAAAAATTAATTAAAAAATAATATATTTTCTACAGCAGACAAAAATACTTTATCTTTCCATGTATCATAATACTGACAGTTTAAAGAAAATAAAATTATTTTCTTGTCTCCTAAAAATAAAGGCTTTGGACTCAGACAGACTTCTAGGTATATGCTTATCATATATTATTTGTATGATATTGAGCACATTATTTAATTTTATTATTAAAGTAAGACTAACATAATAAAAATTTACCATTGTAAACATTTCTGTTGAAGTAACATTGGTTTATAACATTATACAGGTCTCAGGTGTATAGCGCTATACTTTACATCTGTGTATATCACATTTTGTTCACCACCATCATCATTCAATTGACTCCTTCCACCCGATTTACCCATTCCCTTTATCTCTTAACTTCTGGTGACCATTACTTTGTTCTTGTAGTCTAAGAGCTTGTTTTTCTTTTTTTTTTTTTAAGATTTATTTATTTATACAAGAGCTGGAGTACAGGCCAGAGGCGCAGAAGGGTGAGAGGATTCACCAGAGACAGAGCAGGGAGCAGAACAGGCAGGCACCCGAAGACACTGCTGAGGGGAGCAGTGGGCGAGACAGGAGAGGTCTGCTGCGCCATGTGGGTATATCCTGGCCGGCCAGGAATTGAACCCGTGCTGCAGAGCTTCACAGCACTGTGCTCAACCCACTGCGCCACCAGGGAGGCCCTAAATGCTTGTTTTTACTTTGCTTCGCTTGTTCATTAACTTCGTTTCTTTATGTTCTATACATGATAAAAAACCATATATTTTATCTTTTTGTCTGACTTTTTTTCACAAACATAAACTCTCTCTACCCGTTCAAGTTGTTACAGATGACAATATTTCCATACAAAACTTAGTATTCCATTGTGAGTGTAGATACACTGAATCTTCTTTTTCCAGTAATCCAGCAATGGCACTTAGGTTGTTTCCACCCTTGACTGTTGTAAATAATGCCACATTAAGATTGGGGGTACATACCTTTCTTTAAATTAGTGTTTTCATATTCCTTAGATAAGAACCTAGAAGTGGGATGACTAGATCATATGGAATTTCTATTTTTACTTTTTTAGGTCTCTCCACACTGTTTTCCATAGTGGCTACACCAATTTACATTCCCACCAACTGTGCACAAGGGTTTCCTTTACTCCACACCCTCATGGACACCTCTCATTTCTTGTCTTTTTGATAATAGTCACTCCCACAATGTGAAATGATATCTCATCTTTTTTTAATTTGCTTTTGCTTAAAAATACTAGATGATGACCATATTTTCATGTGCCTGCTAACCATGTCTTCTTTGAAGTGTCTATTCGGATTCTGTTCTTGAGTTCTGTGAATTTTTTGTATGCTTTGTATATTATCAAATATATGATCTGCAAGTATCTCCTCTCATTGAGAAGGTTGATCTTTCATTTGGATGGCAATTTACTTTGCAATGCAGAAAACTTTTTGATTTTTGGTTTTAACCATTTTATAGTGGGCAATATATTTCTTTAAATTTATGCTTTACATGAAAAACATGTAAGTGAATTATTAATTAGGCTTTTAGTATAGTTACAATGGTGTGCAACATAACTATCTAATTCTACATCTTCATCATCCCAAAAAAGAAACATCATATTCACTAAGAGCTCTCTATTTCTCCTTCCCCCAGCAATTGGCAACTACTAATTGATTTCTGTCTCTATGGATTTGGCTTTTTTTAAATTTTCCACATAAATGAAATCATACAAAATGTCAGACTTTTGTGTCTGACTTTTATCACTTAATATGATGTTTTCAAAGTTCATCCATGTGTATCATATATCATCACTTCATTCCTATTTATGACCAAATAAAAATTCCATTATTTGGATATAACACATTTGGTTTATCCATTCATCAGTTGGTAACATTTGATGTGAGCTGTTTCCACTTTCCTGGCTATTACAAATAATGCTGCTATAAATATTCGTTTACAACTTTTTATTTGAACATCTTATCTGTTTTCAGTTCTCTCTAGTGTAAACCTAGGAGTAGCATTGCTGGATAATATGGTAATTCTATATTTAACTTTTTGAGAAACCACCAAAATATTATCCACAGACGTTGTGACATTTTACATTCCCACTAGCAATGTATCAAAGTTCCAGTGTCTATACATCCTCACCAACAATCTTATTTGACATTTTTTAAGTATAACCTCTAGTGAACATAAAACAATATGAAGTCATTGAGAAATCATTTTCCTAGATTCTTGTTTCTACCAAAATTCAAGCTAAGCTTCAGATTTCAAAAGGAATAGAACATGTATCAGTTCAGAAGGAAAAGAAAATCTAAAGTGGTATAAAGGGCATGTAAAGGAGAGAGTGAGAGGGAAGGGTAGAGTTGGGCACTGTAGACACCAAGCACTAAGTGGTTAGCGCCAATCATAACAATTTTGAAGATGTGTTAGGATATTTTAGTTTAATTCAAATGAAAATGGTAACTGTTAAATAATTTTAAGTAGCAGATTGCCTTGATCCTTGCTGGAGTTGAATTAGACAATTCAGTTTTTTTTTTAAGTACAATAATAAATTGGAGAGAAAAAGTTTGGATGCAAAAAATTCCTAAGTGGGACGGCTGGAAAAATCCTGGACAAAGAGAAAGTTGGGATATGTTTTACATTAAAAACATGTGAGTGAATGTTAAGAAAATTCAGAAAATATAATCAACAGTAAATTAATTTTTTAAAAATTTAAGATAAGGAGATAAGGAGAACCAGTTTTGACATGGAAAACCGGTTGGATTCTGTATCACTATACAAGGTGGAGAATTCAAGAGAATATATTCATCATGAAGAAAGAGGAAAAGGTAATAATATTTCTTTCCATGTGCTGATTTTGAAGTTTCAGTTGGATGAACAATAGGAGATATCAAATAGAGATGGGAGAGAGAAATAATTGGGAATTTTCAGTATATAGATGGCTGTTGAATTTATGAGCTTACCATGTGATAAGCAAATTTAAACCCACAACAATTTCAGAAATGAGTGCTATTTTTCCTTTGTTAAAAAATTAATCAAAACAGAATGAAAGTACCCAAAGAGAGTAAATAATTGTGTATTTATGTTTTTGATAGTAGAAAATCAGGATACTTCCATCAGATGTTTATCATTTTCTTGGAAATTGAATAATTCTTACCTTTCACCCTCTGATTCTATCCATTGTTTTCTCCAACAAAACTGAGGTTTTGAAATTTGTAGAAATTGATTCCATCAGTGGAAGGATGCCAACTACTGATTTACATGAGAAATTCTATTAAATCAACATGATTACTTGATTTCCCACAATCTTCTCTCTGTGCCCTTATACTTAGGTCACTGCATCCCTTTAGGAAAAAATAGAAGGATGACCTTGTCCCTGATCTGCTTTGTTTTTACCCCATAAATAATGGGATTGAGTGCGGGTGGGATTGCCACATAGAAGTTGGCAAACATGATGTGAAAGGAGAGAGAGATATTGTGACCAAAGCGATGAGTAAGGCTAGAGAATATGGATGGTGCATAGAATATGAGAATGACACTGACGTGAGAACCACAGGTGCTGAGCGCTTTCTCACGGGCATCTCTGGATGGAAGACGGAAAACAGCACGAAGGATGAAAGTATAGGAAATGCCAATGAAGACCAAGTCTGAGATAAGAGTCAACAGAGGCACAGATAAGCCATACCAGATATTGATGGCAATATCAGCACAGGCAAGTCTGGCCACCCCTATGTGCTCACAGTATGTGTGAGGGATAATATGTGACCCACAGAAAGGTAAACGCTTCACAAGGAAAACAACAGGCAAAATGACAGCAAAGCTCCTAGCAACCATACCCACCATGATCTTGATAATTGTCTTTGGCGTCAAGACACTGGCATATCTCAAAGGAGAGCAAATGGCCATGTAACGATCAAATGCCATGCCTAACAAGATGGCCGAGTCCAGAAAAAAGCTGAAATGGAGAAAGAACAACTGGGTGAGGCAACCAGAAAATGTGATTCCTTGAGCTTTGAGCCAGAATATGCCAAGTGTTTTGGGAACACATGTGTTGCACAAGAGGAGGTCTGTAGAGGCCAACATTGAGAGGAAGAAGAACATAGGTTCATGGAGGCTGCGGTCCACTGTGATGAGGTAGAGAAGGATGCCATTACCTGCAAGGGCCACAAGGTAGATAGCAAAGAAAGGAATCCCAATCCAGATGTGGAACTGTTCCAGTCCTGGAATCCCCACCAAAATGAAGGAGCCTGAATTGAGGCTTGTCAAATTCAATGTGGCCATCGTGGTGATTGTCATTCCCTGAGGACAAAATATTTTATTTGATTCCTGGAACTGACTAGCCATGAATTCCCTTTAAGTCTTGTCCACAATTAAGATCCTTCCCTTTCTATGAGATAGCAAACACTAAAGAAAACAAAACATACCTCTGTCACAGTCTACATTAGTTACTAACCTCAGTGAAAACCAATCATTACTTGTGGGTGATAGAGTTTACCATAACTCCATTGTTACTAGATTGGGACTGACTGATTCCTGAGCTGGGAGTCTATTGGCCCGTTGTGTCAATTAAAGTTCCAAGATTGTCTTGCCCTTACCATGTAACTCAGTCTGAGATTTTTCAAAGATGTATTAAACACACTACTTTTCGTGAGTCTCAGGAGCATCTTCACTGGCTAGTCAAAAAGGCAACAAAGACCACATGCAAGTCAGCAAATACCCATTTCTTTAATGTCACTGTGTCATTGGGATGCTAGTGAGCCAATCTACTGCTGTCCAGGACTTGCTTCTACCTCTTCCATATTTGGGGGGAAAAAATCTCCATCCAAATATTCTTCTGTCAACTCAAAAACTCTTCAGGATTCATACTTTTCTCCCATCTGCCATCTTACTCATCAGTTATTCTACGTTGTTATCACATTGTTCACCCTCTTACTGCTGGGGCATAGTGATCCGAGGACTGACTGTCCTTCTTCTACTTTCAGTCCCTATTTCTTGTCTGCCAGCTCTTATGATCCTCTTTTGAAATCCCTGTTTCATCTGTCTATTCCATTTTTCCTCCACTTTCTCATCTACTCAAGTTATCATAAACACTAATTGGAACCATAGAATAAGTATTCTCATCCTTCCAATATCTTGCTAGTCTTTTTCTTCATGTCATGCTGTTAGATTGTTCACTTCAAAATGGTACAAGATAGTAGCCTTTTTAAAAGCATGTAATTGTACCTATTGTGCCTAAAAATTTTATTGTATTCCCTACTTAGTAGTCAATACTTTCCCTATGTCTATTAATTTTGCCTTCAAGAATGTCTCTCGCCATTAGCCCTAAAGGTCAATGCAGGGGGAGGTGCAGCACTTCCCTACAAGTTATCCATCTATTCCTTCTCCTCCCCATATTCTCTATCATTGCTACATCTCGTTGCCTGCATTACTGTATTTCTATATTGAATTTTCTAGTATGTCTAAATAGAACATTCTTTTCTGTGATGCTTGCAGTGCTAATGTCTCCAGGAGACTTCCTTTAGTACTGCTGAATCATGTAGTCTACTCTTCTGATTGTACAACTGATTTCTTTCCCACCCCTCCCCTACAACTGATTTCTTAATTGTTTTACCAGACAATTAAATGGTTGTATTGAGCTGTACATTATTTTCCTACTCATTCTCTTGGGTTCTTTTTCCTAGGTGTGTGGTCATCCTCCATTAACAACTGGAAATTCTTTCTAAAGACAAATTTTCTGTTTCCATGTGCCTCTCCAAAAATGAAAGAAAGCAAAATGTTACATAGAATAACCATTCACACATTCTCAGTGGTAAAACTAGTATTTCAAATTCTGTCATTGTCTACTTACTTTTGCTGGTTTTCACTGTGTCCCATTTAAGTCAAAAAATTGTGGCTTTACATGCGTGTGTGTGTGTGTGTGTGTGTGTGTGTGTTGCTTCTTGACTTACTGCCTCTCTGTCCATCTTCAAAAGCAATGACAAGAATTTAGTCTTTCTCACAGCTTATCACACCTCATTGTTCTGAGCTCTGCAGTCTCCGTCTGACTCATTTTTTCTCTCTCTTCCTCTTCTGCTTTTAAAGACCATTGCAATGACTCTGGAGTCACCCCGATAATCTAATATGATCCCCCTATTTTAAAGTCAACCCGTAAACAACCCTAATCTCCTTTGTTATATAAATAACGTATGCAGCAGGTCCCAAGGATGTGCCTATCTTTGAGGGAAAATTCATTACTCTGTCTGCCATAAGGACATTTTATATTGCCTGCATCTTTTCTGTTCTGCATCTCCAAGAATTGTACTAGCATCACCACCATTAACACACTCAGATAATACTCACAGGGTCTAATTTTATAGTAGATGCTGGGATAGAAAACCAACAAAGGGGCTTGAAGAGAATAAGTCCCCCAATGAAAACAGAAAAGTACATGAGGGAACACAGCACAACTGGGGACACCATATGAAAAGAAAGAAGACACAAATGAGAAAATGAGGCATGGGGAGAAAGAAACAGTTCCAGTTGGAAAAGACACACTCATGTGAATTGCATAAGCTTTTATCTCTTGCTAATTTTCCCGGGGGATAAAGACACCATGAAAAGTGAGGACTTGAAAATCTA